ACCTCTGGGCTCCCTATTTAGAAATTTGCCTTCTTGCTTTTTTGATTGGTATAAACAGATTAAGGAGAACCTTTGTCATTTGTATTCAAAATTGGGCAAAAGCAAATTGAATCCAGGCTTGATAACTTAGCCCCAAATCTCTGTATCAAGGAATGTAATGAGAAGGGTCAGTTCACTCTCTCTCTCTGTCAGGTAAGTCATCAGCTATTACTTACAGGGTTCCCATGTACCATCAATAGACTCCTGTCATTGGCCCCCGACACTGAGTGAGCCAGTTGGTTCTGGGCCTCGTGACTCTCTGGGCTAATTAATGTTCTCTCCTTCAGGTGGAGGGCTGGAAGCAGTGCACGTAGTTATGAAAACTGTTGGGCCACTGGACATGATAGGAAGTGAAATGTATCCCAGTATCTCTGGATTCTGTCTACTGGAATCTCAAATTTTCCATTTCACTGCATCTTGAAGACTCAAAGCAAAGGTTTTGTCCAGAAAATGAAGGCAGCCCCGATTTGAGAGCCTCTAAAGTATAAAATGACCAGACCTGCTCAGATTTTTGGTACCAACTCTGAAAAGCACCCTATGCATGAAATACGGATATGGTGGAAATACACATTCTGTGTAGAGTTAACCAGTATGACTTCCTTGGACATTAAGTGTGAACACATTAGAAGAAAGGTTTTCCATTCAGTCTTCTTTTTTTTTGTTTTTTTTTTTTTTTAGCTGAGCCATCCTGCTACCTGTTGGCAGCTCAGCTCGGGCTGGACTCGAACCGCTGTTGCTCAGAGCTCAAACTCTTCGAGCGAGCTCTTAACCAACTGAGCCACTCGGCCGGCCCCTCCATTCAGTCTTCTAATTGCATACTTGCTCCCATTCTTTCACTGGTTTATTTCTTTTTTGAAACTAAATGTGTGTCACCAGGGATGTGCGGTGGCAAGGAAAAAGTGTGTGGGCTTTGGAGTCAGGTAGCTCTGGATTTGAATCCTTGGTCAGTTAATTATCAATCATATTACCATGAGAAAATGACTGCTTTTCTTGGAATCTCAGTTCCCTCAGTAGTAAGATTAGCGGTTCTCAATCTGTGGGTCGCGACCCCTTTGGGGATCGAACGACCCTTTCACAGGGGTCACCTAGTACTTGTATGTGGGCATATCTGCATGTGGGCCTGGAGACGGATAGAGGAGCGGTGTCTTGGTTCCTAAGACCATCGAAAATATGTTTTCCAATGGTCTTAGGCGACCCCTGTGAAAGGTTGAGAACCGCTGAGTAAGATGATCCAATTAAATCTTCCCTCAAGTAGATGGTGTATCAGATGAGACAATAGGTTAAAGGATTATAATAAAAAGTAAAAGTGACATTTTTCTCTTAGCTTAGTTATGTCCCATTATATAGCTCCCAAATTTTATATTTTTTAAAGACATTAATGAAATAGAAAATAAATAATAGAGAAAATAATATAACCAACAACTGATTCGTTGAAAAGACTGATAAAATTGATAAACCTAGGCTGATCAAGAAACAAAAAGAAGATATTAATAACCAATATTAGGAAAGAAATAGGAGAAATTATTATAGATTATTACAAAATTAGAAGGATAACATGCAAATTATAAACAAATTTGTCAGTAAATCTGACATCTTAGATGAAATGGAAAAATTCCATGAAAGACTATAAAATACCAATTGACACAGAAATAAAATCTAAAGATGCCTACAACTACTTTATTTCCATTAATAAAACTTTAAGTCATAATGACTTTACAGGTGAATTCTAGCAAACATTTAGTGGTGAAATAATATCAATTCTTCACAAACTATTTTATTCAAAGTAAGTAATTCACCAAAATCATAGAATATTACAATCTTAATAGATCCAGAAAAATATTTAACAAAAATCTAACACCCAATTATGATAAAAATTTGTAGCAAGCTAAGGAAAGCAGGGAACTTCCCTAATCTGATAAAGGGCATCCACAAAAAAACATGTAACAAACATCATACTTAATGGTGACACACTGGACTTTCCCCCTACAATCAGGAGCATGTCCAGAGCAACTGCTGTCACAGGTCTATTCAACATTGTATTGGAGGTCATAAGAATTTCAAAAGTCAAGAAAATATAAAAGGAATAGAGATATGTGTTAAGCTGTCTCTATTTTCAGGTGATAAATTTTTCTCTTTTTTTAATGTAGAAAGTGCTAAGAAACCTAAACTATAACTACTAGAATTAGTAAGTGAATTTAAAAGATTATAGTATCTAAGATTAATATTAAAAATTAATTTATTTTTATAGACTAGTAGTAAACAATTGTGTTTTCAAAATTTTATTTATAATAGGTTCAAAAACATAAAACAATTAGGGATAAATTTGTCAAAAGTTGTGTATGACTTTCACATTGAAACATATAAAACATTTCTGGGGGAAAATTAAAGACCTAAAGAAATAGAGAGAAATACTCTATTCCTGGACTGGAAGCAATGGCATGTTGGTAAACATTTAACAGCTGATTTCCCCCACAAAACAAAAGAGGCCCCTGTTTGTGGAGTTTGCCAATTTCTGTGGTGTAAATTCTCTCACCCTCACTAATTCCAAGCTTTCAAATTCCTGAAATTTTTATAATGGTCCCTTGCCATGTAATATGTGCTGTAGTATGTGCTCACCAATGACTGAAAGACTTAATGTTGTTACAATGACAATTGTTACCAAATTGATCAATCTCAATCATAATTTGACCATGCACTTTTGTAGAAACTGACAACTTAATTATACAAGGTATATGGAAATGCAGAGCACCGAGAACATCCAGAACAATCTTGACAAAGAACAAAGTTGGAAGACTTAAACTTCAAGTATTACTTTAAAGGTTATCCAGACAATGTGATAGATACTGGCATAAGGATAATCAATGGAACAGATCAGAGGGCTCCAAAATAGACCAACTCTGCACAGTCATTTGACTTGCAAAAGTCTTTTCAACAAACAGTGCTAGAATAACTGTTTATCCATATAGTCTAAAAATACTCTTTAACTCCATACCGCATACCGTATAAAAATAATTAATTTGGATTGTATGCCAAAAATTAAGCTATAAAACTTCTAGAAGGAATTACAGGAGAAATCATTCGCTATTTGAGAGGAGGCAAAGAGTTCTTAGGACACAGAATGCAATAAACAAATAAAGAAAAAATGATAAAATGGACTTCATCAAATTTTAAAACTTATTTTTTACATATGCTATCATTATGGAAATGAATAAGGAAGATACAAACTAGGCAATAACAGTGATAAGTTACATATCTGATACCTGCATGGTATCCTACAATAAAGAATAACAACTCCATAGATAACCAATCAGTTATGGGCAAATGATTTGAATTCATAAGCACATGAAAAAGTGCTTAACATCATTAGTCATCAGGAAAATGTAAATTAAAACCACTATGAGATACAAAGATACAACCACCAGAATGGAAGAAACTGAAAAGATTAAAAGACCAAATGTTGGCAAAAATATGGTGCCACCAGAACTCTAATCTATCATTGATCGGAGTATAAAATTGTACAATCACTTTGCAAACCATCCTGGTTATTTCTTATAAAACTAAGCATGCACTTACTCTATAACCCAGCAATTTCACTCCTAGGTATTGATCCAAGAAAAATGAAAAAAATATATATGTTTACAAAAAGGTTGATACACGAATATTTATAGCAGCCTTAGAGATCAGAACCAAAACCTGGAAATAGTTTCAATGTCCATCGAAATGAGAATAGATAAACAAATTGTGACTATTATTTAGCAATAAAAAAGAACAAACCACTAATACCTATAACAGCATGGATGAATCTCAACATACTGAGTGACCTTTATTAAAGAGAGTATATACTGAATGACTTCCTTTATAGAAAGTTCTAGAAAAGACAAAGCTAATCTATGGGGGGGGGGAATAAAAACAGTGATTATTTCTAGAAGGATAGGAGTAAAGAGTGACTTGGAAAGGGCATAAGGTAACTTTTAGGAAGCTGGTATTCTTGAAGATTTGTGCATTTTAATGCATGTAAATTTAACCACAATAGAAAAACTGAGAGGCATAAACAAAATTTTGAGTTCTAGTTAGTGATATGCAGGGTGAAGTATATGGGGTGAAATGTGTTGGTTAATATAATTTATTCTGAAATGCATTACAAAAATAAGATGGATTGATGGATGAATAGAGGGATGAGTGGATGAATAGGTATATGATAAAACAACTTCCTCACTCTGGCTGACTCTGAGTCAGTTTAGAAACAAGAAACCAGGTTAACTTCTTTACCCCAACAAGTTACCAATAATGAAACAATTTTGGACATTCTTGCTACCCAGAGGAGGTATGTAGCATTGCTAATACTTGGCATTATCTGGATTAACACCATAAGTAAGATGAAACAATTTATATCTAAGTTAAAACAATGACAATTGGCCATCAAAGGTAGACCCAAGACATTGTAGCCCTAATTCTCTTTATGAGGCTGGAAATTTTCCAGAGTGCCTTTCAGTCCTTTTTTAAAATACTTCTCATTATACTTTAGTTTACCTCCCTATTGCTTGACATTTACTGTCCAGAGTCTAAAACTGTTCAACAAATGATTGAAAGACAACAACAGGATGAAATCATTCTGATTGACACTGAAACTCACATTTCTGCAAACAACCTCATCTTCCAGGAGAATCAGTAACAGTGATGAAGATCTGGACAATCCTTGGTGGCCTCTCCTGCAGCTTTGGATGAAGAAGCAAAAGGGGGGGCTAAAAATAAAAACGTTCTTGCCTAGGAAAAGGCTGATTGTTCTCTAGCCTTGGTATCAAATAAGCATCAGAGCCAGTTTTCAATAATTTCATTAATCGATGACAAATCACATCAGGAAACATGCTGCCAAAAGCAACCAATCAGATATAGGGAAAAGTTAACCATTGGGATATTTGTCTTGGGAAAAGACAGCGGGTCGTGACAAGCACAAAACTTACCAGCGTGAGACTCAAACTTCAGCAGAGCACTGTTGCACCCCAGAGTAATCAAGATGGACTCCTTCCCCACACGGCAACATTCAGTGTCTCTGTTGAGTAAGCATTTAAAGACACAGACGCCATCAGCTATAAAAGGCGATAAAAAAAAAAAGATTAGGAAAATCCATTTTGAGCATTGTAAAAAGGTTCATCAATGCCATTCCTACAATTCTCTCATGTTCTCAAGCCTCCCCATTTCTTTTTTCTTAATGCAATGCCTCCTGGGACATATGGAAATATGAGGATCAGAGATAGAAAGAGATGAATCTATGGCTGAATATCAATTCTTTGCAGATAGATTAACATGGCTCAGAACTGACTCTCATTGGCTCTTGCTTTTATGTCCAGGGCTCACTACCTGTAACCCTTGTAATTCCCCAAATATTTTGTTTCTCTGGATGCCATCCTAAAAGAGTCCAGGTATTGTCCCTATGGGTTACTCTTGAGCACCTACTATGTGCCAGAGATATCATAAAAATCTCCATTGAAAGTATTATCACTGTCAACATTTCTAGCTGAAGACAAGGCTGAGAGTTTAGGTCCAAATATGCATAGCTAATAAGTGGCAGAACTAAAATTCAAACCCAGAATTGAAGCCCATGTTGCTCCTACCACATTGTGCCACCGCAAGTGTGATAAAAAGGGAGCTGAGTTTCTGCAAGCAGGGTCCAAGGTAAGTAGCTAGAGTCTCATTAAATTCATCCATACATAACTGGATACAAATTTACTAATCCTCCTTTTATTATAGACAGGCCTTTACCACTGGGGCAGCTGTAGTATGCTGGAAAAAAGCAATGAAGTTGGACTTTGCTTTCATCTTTGATATTTACTAACTGAGGTACTTCAATCACCTAATCACATGGAGTCATATTTTTTCATTATGCAAAATGAAAATATTGATGTTTATTTCACAGGCTTTTTTGTTAAGGCTGAATAATAAAGTTTAAATAATTTCTAAAATCCTATTAACACAACAAGACTATTATTTCTCTTAACATAAAGTAGATCTTAGCTCCTATCTTTGACGTCTTCCATTCCCCCTTATAAAATAAAATACAGTAAGTGTATTAAATTAAAATTTAAAACACAAGTGTACATAAAATTCCATTGTTACACATGGGTATATGTGCACACATTCAAAACACACACAGCGTCACGATGATCAAATATTTTCAACCATTACTTCAAATGAACAAGTACCTCCTGATGAAAGCATTCACAGATACTTTTCACAAAACATCTTGGCTGGTTAAATAGTGCAGATGTTTTGAAAACATTCTCCTGGCATAAAACATGATTACAGGTCTAGTTATTACAGCCCAGCCAGTGTCTCAGAGGCATCAATGTCTCCTTGCAGGGAGGCAGCCATGAATAGTAGAGGCTGAAGAAGGCAGTTTGGTGTTCTTTTAAACAATGGTTTTCTAAAATCACAAGAAATATATTTTTCAATAAATCAGGATTTTTAGCATTAACCAATTGTTTCTCTTACGGTTTTGAAGTAGGATAAGATAGAAGGAAGAAGGAAGAAGAATCCTAGGCTTCCTGAGTTCCTTGTACATATATGACTATTATATTATAGTCTGTGAGCTCTTTGTGAGCAGGGGTTATTATTTTACTTTATTTTGGGGCTCACTATTTTTTTCTCTCTGATTCAAAACTTAACACAGTACCTAGTACTTAATAAGTATTTTCTGAATCAGTGAAGACACTTCTCCTTGTATTGATTGCATAACATCCCAGAACAGATAAAAAGCTTCAAAATGTGTATGATTCAATTCTGTTTAACCAGATAGGCTCAGATTATTTTTGCTGTTTTGTTTGGTTTGATTTAGTTTGGGTTTTTTTGTGATTTAATTAGGGTATAAATTGAGTTGCTGTTTTTTTCTACTTTCATAAATTGCAAAATGCTACTCATATAGTCTCTTTTTTTCATCTCCTCCCTATCTTCTGTTTAAACATGGGTGGGGAAAGTATTTTTAAGCGTGCAATAAAATCCAGAAAGTACCAGTATCTACTTCAAGTTTAAAAATCTACCTATGGCAAAAAAATTTTTTAAACACTTTAAATAAAACTGAAAAGCAATGATAAGTTAGGAAAGTGTTGGGGTATTTTATTGTATTTTTTTTTTTTTAAGATTTTTATTGGGGAATTGCGGGGAGGGGAACAGCGCTGGGGAATTGGGGGAAGGGGAACAGACAAGTTGCTGTCGTTTTTGTTCTTCAATCTAGTTGTGGAGGTCGTTGCTTCACTGGCCCAAGCTGGCACCATCATTGTGCTCTTCTCTGGCGAGGCAGATCAGTCGCCGGCTTCTGGACGGCCGCTCACTGCGGCTTTTTTATTGTATTTTTGTTTGTTTGTTTTTTGCTGTTTGCTTCGCATTTTTATTACTTTCTATTTTAATGAAAAATCACTTTACATTTTTATAAAGTTGATATGTTCCCATACTATGACTCCAGACAATAGAGAAAAAATACAATTTAAAAGACTGAAAAAAAATGAATTACTTCTACAAGAAACAAACATTAACATTTATTAAACATCATTATTGACATATTTTAATTCACATACCTATAGAGAAGATGAGAATGTACACTTTTATAAAAATAAGCTCTTGTTATTGATATTATTTAAGATTATATATAATTTGAATTGAATTAAATAGAAAATCAAACTGAACTGAACTATAAAGGCATCAAAACTTAGGAAAGTGGGGCCAGCTGAGTGGCGTGTTGGTTAGGAGTTGGCTTGGGACGCTAGCCCTGAGCAGCAGGACCCCGGTTCAGATCCCACATGAGGGCCAGTGACGCTGCACCCTCTACAGCTAAGATGGTGAACAACAGCTCCACCTGGAGCTGGGGTGCCATGAGTCGCCAGCGACGGCATAGGCTGCAGTGGGGCTGGCCAGCAGTGGGCGTGAGCTTCTGTGAGCTGCCATGAGCCGCCATCCTATGGCTGGCGAGCAACTGCCTCAGCCAAGAGGAGCGCAATAATAACACCAACATAGGCCAGTGAAGTGACGTCCTCCACAACTAGACTAAAGAACAAAAGGACAGCAACTTGTCTGTTCCCCTTCCCTGATTCCCCAACGCTGTTCTCCTCCCCCAATTCCCTAATAAAATCTTTAAAAAAAAAGAAATTTAGCAAAGTGTTTTTATCATACATAACAAAGACAATATCTCCAATATACAATTGGCTCTAAAAAATAACAAGAAACAAACATCCCTATTAAAAAGTTAGTAAGGCGATCAGTAGGCAATTGACAACTAGAAAAATGCAAATAGCACCAGAAATGTGAAAAAAATAATAAATTTCAGTAATAATCAATGAAAAATATAAAAAAAGGATGAGCTCTAGTTTTTTCTGTCAAAATTTTAAAAATATATGTTGACAATATCAAATATTGGAAAGTGTGTGAGAAAATAGTGAGTGGCCATTATTAGGAATGTAAATTTCTATATTACTGGAATATATTCGGCCCATAATATTTAAAATTTAAAATTTATGTACTCTTTGCTAGACATTCTACTGGTAATAATTTCTTCCAGGGTGTACTTTATCAAGTGTGAATGAATGTACATTCAAGGACATGCATCTAAGCGGTGTTTGCTACAGGTAGAAAATGCAAAGCTAAGAGACAATCATTGACATGGTTGGTTAAGTCAAACATGAAACTTCCATGTTCAAGTTGCAGAACAGCATGTACAATATTATTGTAGCAATTTAATATTGTGTTTATCTTTGTAGAAAGCTGTTTAAAAAGATATACACCGAAACATCATCAGTGGTTTCCTCTGGATAGAGAAATCTGGGTCATTTTTTTTTTCTCTTTACAAAGTTACGCATTGTTTGAATTTTCTATGTGAGTACTTATTTTTATACAGGAAAAATAAGAAAGCAATGCATTTGTTAAAAAAACAATCAAACAAAAAACACACTACCATCACTAATGTAATTCTCAGTGGGTATTACTCTTCTTTAAATGTTTTCATTTATTAGATATTAATTGGTAACTTCATTCAAAAATATTTATTTAGGAATTCCTGCATCCAATAAAATCAGTTTTAATTCTTAATTTTTAAATCATCCATCTCCATGAATGATTTATTATGTTTTTTTGTTTGCTAATGTAATAACTTTTCGTGCTGACCACATTAGTACATGACACAAACATTCTACATGGTTTCTGTGAACAAATGTGAGCAAGATGAAAGTGCAGCTATTTTAGGGGAGATTTTTACCATCATCCTAGAAATGTGCCTTTTTTTAAATTAAAGAATTTATATTAGAAAAATGAAGGATTATGACAAAAATATTGCTGAGGAGCACATATAAATCCAAGACCAGGAAGTACTCCTACATCGATGAAAAGTAGGGGTGGTGTGGAGATCATTTCCAGTGTACATTGTACTAAGGTTACAGGGCTTTTATCTATCCAGTGATTATTACTAGTAATAACAATAATAATAATAATAATAATAATAATTACATCTGCAGAACATTCTCCCTCCCCTGCCAAACCTCATTTCGTCTCTGCAGTGGCACAGAAGTCTGGCTGCTTCTGTGTATTTACCATCATTGCGCTTTCCAACTTGGCTTTCATCAGTGACATTTTTGCTACTTCCTCAAAGGCTAAGGCGGGGTCTGCCAGTGGCAAGCAGGAGTTCATGTGCACCAAGATTAGTCAACTTTAGGAAAGCCCAGAGCCTTGCCGTTCCCTCCTTGAAGGAAAGCCACTTGTTCTCATGGAAGACTTTCAAAGAAAATCATAATGATGGCAAACCCAGATACCTGACTCTATCCACCCCCTCAGCCACATGTAACAAAACTCCCAAAGGCACACAGAAAATCCAGGATCTACCCATTTTACAAGTGCAGACATGCATGAAAAATGCCACCGGGCAAGGTGAAGTGAGTTGTCCTTGCTTTTCTTAACCAATAATTCTCTACTTCTCCACATATACACTCCTCTCCTTTCAGCCTATGCAAATATAAAAATTCAATCTCCACAGAAAAACTACAACATTAATTAACCAAAAATATTACGTATCCAGCATGGTCTAGAACTGACGTTCTAAAATATATTCTTA